GGCATCCCACATACAAAATAGAGGAAGACGGGCAGAGATGTTAGCTCAGGGACAATGTTCCTCAAGCAAAAAGAGGAAGATCGGAAACAGATGTTGGTTCAGGGCCCATCTTCCTCACTAAAAAAAAAGAAGAAGAAGAAAAGAAACTCAGGGTTCTCACTGTTTCAGAAAGGGGATAAATTAGAATGAACTCTGTGCTGTTGCTGTAGAATTGGAAGGATAGAGGTGAACTCATGGTAAATCACATGTGGTCCTGGATTTGATCCTTTTACGGTAAAAGGACAGGATTGGGACAACAGGAGACACTTGACTGAGGTCTATGCATTCAATAGCAATGGTGTATCAATATTAATTTCCCAATTTTGATTGTTATATTATGCTTGTGTAGAAAAACATACATGAGGAAAGGACTTACAAGGCATCTCATGCTGACGGGGCATCACATCAGCAACTCACTCTCCAGTGGTTCAAGAAAAATAGCTTTGGACTACAACTGCGACTTTTCTCTAAGATGAAATTTATTCCAAATTAAAGATAATGAAAAACACAAAAGAAACTGAATATATTTTATATGGGCCTTCCTCCAAAAGAGGATTTGAAGATGTTTACATAAAAGGACATATTTACAAAAGAAGGCATAATATTAATGGTAAGAGAAGCTAGGAGAATGAGAATAACACATAGGAGAAAGACTGAAATTATTTTCAAGTTTCAACATTTTCCTTTTGGTTGAACTACTGTTTGAGGAGAGTAAGGTCGCTTGTATATTGTATACTTACTTCCATAACCACTTCAGTTCAAAGCCTTTGGAAAGCAGTGAGATCTACCTTTTTAAAATGTATTTTACTAAGTCATCTCTTGACCTTCCTCTGATACTTTGATCAATATTTTTTGGGATAGAGTGCATTCTCCTTTTGCATTCACCACCAGGAAATCCAGAATCAATCGACCCCAGTTACTCTCTTCAGTTTTTATCTTTATCATATGAACAGCAGTTCAGCCACAGTCATTCACTACATGGCTCTTAATTAATTTTATTGTTATTTGAATTTCTATGTGATGTATTATTCTCACATTTTTAAAGTGCTTATATTTCTATCTTGAAAATTGCGTAATACTTCACCCAAACTTTTCCTTGTCCCACTCTCTTCTCAGTTCTTCAATTTAATTTGCAAAGTATGCTGACCTCAAGAGCTCTTTCACCTTGGAAAAATATTAACTATGATAAATATGCAGCAGAATCATAGCGCTTATACAAACAAAATTCTCTAGAGATATTATCAAAGATTAGTAGAGCAGACTGGTTAAACCCATGGGAGGTAGAGCCAGATGCCCAGATTTAAATCCCAGCTCCTCCAGTGAATATCTGGATCTGGATTAGCTATTATTTCTTTCATTTTTCTGATTAAAAATAATGAGAAGTAGGCAAGTTAATATCAGTATGAATGTTGTAGGATTGCTGTGGATATTAGAAGCATTTAACATACCTTCTGGTATACAGCAACTTTTCAATACATACTGATCATCATTAGAGGACCCCTGAATCTCAAAGAAAACTAAGAAAACTTCCGGTGTCATGTTTTGTACAATTTTGTAATCACACACACACGTACAATGCAATAACGCCTACCAGCTTGAGCACTACTCGGCTTCCTCATCCTTTTGCCCCACCTTCATTAACATGCCCTTTTGAATAAAATAAGGTTTATTGCAACATGTACATTTACGAAACAGGAAGATAAGGCTTGTCGACCAATTTTTCATTGAACAAGGTACTTCTATCATATAGGTAATTTATTGGATCTCACTACAAGTAACTCATAAATAGCTGGTTGTAAAGAAACTAATATTTATTGGTCACCAACTCTACGCTATGCCAAGTACTTTAAATATAATCATTGAATTTTTCCAAACATAGTTTTTTAGGCAGGAATTTTTGTGCAAATAGAGATAGAGAAAGTGAGGCTTAGATGGGCTATAGCATTTACACAAGTAGAAGGTAAATTTGCAGCCAAATAATCTGAGAATCTATTTTCAAGTCAAATAAAAAGTTTATTTCACCTGAACGCAGCTATAGATATACAATCAGGGTTAAACACCCCTCACTGCAATATACAATAGCATTAAAAATGTCTATTTAAAGTGTCTGAAATTTGATAAATGTAGGCAAATTTCCATTGAAAAGCCAACCTTGACAATGCTAGTTTGGGATCCACAGTTAAACGCAGACAAGTTCACATGCCACTCTTTATGTGGTATTGTTATAAAAGTGAATTCTCCTCAAATTCTGCAATTCACAGTAGAATACAAAAGAGCTGTGTCTCCAGCTCCCAAATAAGATATTTCTAAAATAATTTGGCTGCCATTTGGGCAAATATATATGTGTGTTTTGTCTTGACAGCTTGTCAACTGGCAGACAGTTCTTGAACATCACATTCATTTCAATTTAATACTGGTAAATTTCTCAATTAGAATTTTATTTTTCACTTTCTGCACAATGAAATCCCTCAGTCCTTGCTGGCGTTCCTCAGGGCGTACAGGTGCAGGGCCTGGCACTTCTGCAGTGGCAAAGGAAGAAAAATGAAAGAAGGAAGGAGGGGAGGGAAGAGACAGGCTGAGAGAGAACAGTGGTAACGGGGAGAGAAAGGAGATAGTGGCTGACCTTGATCCTGATATTCACCTTCATGAGAAATGAAGGGAATAATTCACACTTGACAATAAAATAGTGCAGCTGCCTCTGCTTCCTTTAACCAGAGAGGCTGGAGTCAAAGAGAAACCAGACACCCAATGCATAAAATCAATACATAAGTAAGGGCCAAAGGTAGGGTGGGAAATAGATTCACAAAAATAATTTTTAAAACTGCAACAACCACCAATTATTGAACACATATTTACTTTATGGCACCTCTTTGCCTTGCATTTTATTATGCAATTCTCACACAGTGAAAGCAAGATGGAAATTACTATCTTTGCATTGTAGGTAGGGAAAATAAGCAATAATTGAACCTCCCTGAACTTCAAAGTCAACTAGATAATAAGGGATGGAACCAGGATTCGAAACACTATCTAGCTAACTTCAAAACCCACACTTTCAACTGCAGTACATTCCACATGGTTTTTGGAAGAGATGTCACAAACTAAGCGTTTTTTTAAAAAATAAATGTGTATATGCTAGTGTGGATTATTTCTTTTAGTTTCTACTCTCTTATCAAGAAAATCTTTTAGATAGGGAAAAAATGCATATATATTTATAGGTGCACATACACATTGCATTTTGTAGCTAGTAATATCTTTAAAATCCTTTTCTTAGCTGAAATTGACCTTGAAGTCTGCAGAAGTTTTGGGGGTTCTCTTTCTCAATATATTTATCAGGCATGTGACTCATTTACACAGACACGAGAGTATCTGACACATTCACAATAGACAGATATAGACTTGGCCATTAAGATGCAGAAATCATAATAATGAGGCAAAAATAACAGCTTCCCTGTTCACCGTTTATTAGCAGTTATGATAAAGTCTTCTATATGTATTGTAGGTGCTAATAGTCTAGACTCTAATCTGGATGAAGAGATGAATTAGGCAAGTTCTCTGCCCTGAATGAATTGATCAAACAAGAAGAAAAAGCAAAAAGAAGAATACACAGTGTTTCTCAGTTCCTGTGCTATGTCAAAATTTAAAAGACATACCAACACGGAGGTGTTTTAGCTTGTTTGTGTGTTTCTTTTTGCAGTGATGGTGATGGTAGAGAGAGGAGTTCCTGCTAGAAAGCCATAGAAGTTTGCCTAGAAAAGGTGTCATTTCAGCTAACCACAAAGGAGCAATTGAATTTTGATAAGAAGGAAAAAAATGAAAGTAGAATTCATTGCATAAGAGAGAGACAAATTGGAGTCTTGGCAGGAGAAATACATGAGTAAGACGTGAAGACTCAAAATCAATTCTGATTTGCTGCTGCAATGGGTGTGCCTACCAAAGTTATATTGTAGGTAACAAAGAAGAGATCAAATGAAGCCAGGCTATTTACCTAATTCTGGACTTCAGTTTATACCTCTACTTGTGTTTTTATTTGTCTCATCATATTCAGCTACTTCTACTTTATGTGATTTTTCTGCACAGCATGTATCCTTATACGTTATCTTAAATGCAATCCGAAACAAACTAGGCTATATAACACATGCATAAGAGTGACTTTTGTGATCATATACTCTGAATTGTGGGTCCTGCCTACCACTTTTGTCAGATAAGGAATAGCTCTAAAATCCGTCCTCTTATACTACAGTCTGGGATCAGAGATTTCCTGGATCAAAGCCAGGGTTTGGGGATAGATAAGTAGATCCAAAAAAGGAAAAAAAAAAAAAAAACGGTAGACAATCATGTTTTGGAATATATACTGCTCTGTAAAACATAATGCATATTTCAGTGGCTCAGAAAAAGTGGCGGTAGGTCATTGGTGACAGCGGTACTCCTAAAACCAGTTCAGTAAAGGTAGGATGGCCATAGCACAGAAGTTTCTGGTAACTGTGATTTCCTAATCCACCCTAGACTCAACCCACCAGCTCAATCCAATATCTGGCTGACTACAGACCTAGAGAGTTTTCAATTTCTCTCCGTGCTGCATCTGCATGTGAATATACACAAACAAATAATTAAACATCAAGCAAATATCAATAGGATTAGTCTGGCGTGTTGGAACAAATCTTGATAAATCCGCCTCAGTAACAATACTCGAACTACAAGTCTATGAGAGGAATACAAATTCAACCTATTGAAGTACTGTCGTGTAAGGAGAGATATTTTAATAAAACTGCTGCGTCAGTTCCTACTGCTAAGGGACTAAAGCTATTGAGCTGTGGAACTGAGGCCAAAAAGGGGATTTGGAAATGCAAATTAGTGATAAGACGGTAATAAATGTCTTCTGCTCAGCAACACACTATCCCTGACGCCAGGAGCTATTTTAAAGATGACTCTCAATAGTTCTGTGAAATTGGAAGCATACATACCCAAAATGGACATCTCTGGCACAGTAGCATGATAGGGTCCATTAAGAAACTCCGGTGCATTGTCGTTGATGTCTTGAACTTTAATAATAAATTCAGAAGGAGGCTCAAGAGGTTTGTTCGTCTCCCAGTCCACTGCCTGAGCTGTTAGGGTGTACTCAGCCTTTTCCTCTCGGTCAAGTCTTTTTATAGCATGGATATCTCCTGTTATATCATTTATTTGAAAGATTGTCCCAGCTCCATCACCTGATAGGATATACTTGATTTTTTTGCTCCCAGGATCCAGGTCTGTGTGTAGCTAAAATGAAAAGTGCCGTTGGTTAGTGATGGGGCAATTTGCAAGGTTAATTTTTAACTACCTCCTGTTTGAATATCAAGTTGGTTCTTATTACATTAATTGTAACTTCATCAATTTCTGCTAGAGAAGCTGTACAAAGAGTCTATGTAACTGTATGCCTATCAATCAAAATAAAATATAATGAAATACATACAAATAAGTCAGAACAGTTTAAAAAAAATACTCCACTCTGTTCAGTATAAACTGATATGCATTTAGAATGATAAAAAGATCAAGGAGAAAACAGAAAAATATATGTATTCTTTTCAGTTTATTAATACATTTGTTTAAAGTTATTATTATTAGCTGCCTTTTATGGATCACTATCTATGTGTCAAGAACCATGTGAATTATTTCTCATATGATAATACCCTTAAATTTTCCAAAATTCAGTAAGTTACAATATTTCATATGAAACAAAAGAGAAATTTGACAAGGCACATCATAACCTTTCCAAGGTTCAAATTTGATGCAATCAAGTGTGGTAGACACAGAATTCAACTCAGATCTGCCTGCTATATTTATGAAAACAAAAATAATTTAAATAATGTGACATATATTAAGATCTTATGTTTGTGTAGGGTTTTTTTTTTTAATTCATACAGTTCTTCTGGTCCAGGAAAATTATTCTCATTTTAGAAAAAGGAACACTGAGGCCAGAATATGGGAGCACATTTTTCTAGAAATGGGACCCCTTTGAATAATGAAAACTTTGCAGTAGGGATCCAGATTCATCTCAGATCACGGCAACAGAAATTTATTGAATACCTACTTGGCCCAAAATATTTTGGTAGGTACTGGGGAAAACAGAATCCCTGGCTTTCAAATTTTCAGTTTACTCTCAAGAGGGAGACAAGAGTATTATGATATATGTGCTTCTTCTTTATACTATGTGGACTCCTGTTACAAAACTAAAATAAAACAAGAATATACATTTTTAGTTTGCATTTTTTAAAGAAAAATTCATTGAGTGATAGATGCAAAATACAGCTTATATGCACATATTTTCTGTTTAACTCAGTTACTTAAATGCTCATATAGTTCCATTTATTGCATTATGAGATTTCAAATACTTATTCTTTAAAAAAAAAAAAAAAAGTCTTGTGGAAAGAAACTCCTAAAAACTCAGAAGACATTGTGCTCTCTTGGGATCACTTTTATTCAGAACAGGCTCTATCACTTTCTTCGCCAATTTAAATCGTATTTAGCGCTTCAATAAATGATTATATATATAAAAAAGATGCAAAATAGCAACAAAGAATCCATAAGCATCAAGATATCCTACTTTATTTTTGAATATTTTAAAAAGTTAAAGCATAAGATTACATCAAATATTTATTGAATCTCAAAATGTATTCCTTTCATTTATTGTATAAATTTATTAACAAGAGCAAATATTGAAATGCCACTTTGTCTTAATGAATGTGGGATTATAATTCATTAATGTGATATTAATCCTAATTTATGATCATTTTAATTTATGTGCATTTTAACATTTCCATTAGCATTTTTATTAAAAAAAGAAAATTTGAATAATATATCATTCACGGAGGTTCCCCTTCACACACAAAGCATTCCTGAGACACAGAAGGTATTGGTATGTCTCACACTTGTCCACATTTTTGCTATTAAAAATTAAGCCATTCAAAATGGTGTTATCATCATGTATGTTAGAACTTATCTGTGCCATATTTTCCTTACATCTATAAATAAACTCTGATTAGTAAATTGTATTATAATCTTAACTTAGGTTTTGATGGTCCCTTGTGTTTAAAAATAACTGAAGGAGGAGAAGGGAAAAGCATAGGTTTTTGAAAAAGTAAAACACAAATAGAAGATCCAGGTCTGTCTAACTATATGAATTGGAAAAATCAACACATTTATTTGAGCTTCAGTTACTTTGCCTATAATATGGAGATAAAATATCTACTCTGGAGAATTGATTTTAGAATCCAAGACGATCAATTTGGAAAATAGAGAAAAAATGGGAGGCAACATATTAAGTGTGCAATAACTAAAACCATTTTAATTCATATCAGATTCAATCATATACAACTATCTGAAAACATTGTTATAAATCTAGTTACAACCTAAGTGAAAGCAAGTGCCCAAGACACCATTCTGAAAACATAGGAGAAAAAAACCCTTAGTACACACTGTATGCTTCCTCTTTCTTCCCAAAATTCATTTTTAGCAAATCTCAGTAAATTCCAGATCCCTGGGATAATGGTAATTGTGAAACACAAAATATTGTGTTTCTCTATTCATTTGTTTCATCCTATTATTTGTATCACACACACTCACACACCCACTCTTGTACATCCTGTTCAAGTAACCAACTTAACATCACAAATAAAGGATTTGTGGGTGTGTAAGAAGAGCAATTTACAGGGAGTAAACACTCATAAGGCTCCAGGTCTAGACCTCTGAAGGATTCTGCATACACAGTGATAAGTTGCTGCTTTCTCTGTTGGTTTTCACATAAGTCTATCAGAACCTGCTCACTTCAGTGCAACAACACTGCTCCTATCAATTTATCCCACCTCAGGTCCCTGTTGTGAGATTATGGTGCCAAAGACACTCCAAATGCACCAAAGTTCACACATTGTGCATCATTTTTGGAAATGTGAGGACTATCTCTCCCAACAGCTGCTTCTGCTAACTGGAACAGGATAAGGGTCACATACAAACTGGCCTGGAGTGGTAAGACTCCTTGGCCTTGATGTGGTACAAAAAGACCCCATCCATTTATTTATTAAATATGCATGGAGCATGATTATAAACAACATAGACATGGTGTCTGCCCTCAAAGACCCATAGGTTTGTGGGAGATAAACACAAATAAACAGAAAATTTAAGAGAAGTATAGTTATTATTATTATTCTTATTGTTACATGTATTGACTACTTATTATCTGGTAAACATTTTATATGTATTAATGCAATGTTATTCTCACAACACACTACAGACCATTTCTCCATTTCACCAAGGAAATGACTGAGATTCAGAGATTTTTAGGGAATTTTTCTATAGAATGCACTATCAGCAAGTAGCAATCTTTTTTTTTTTTTTTATAATTTTATTTATTTATTTTTTCCCCCAAAGCCCCAGTAGATAGTTGTGTGTCATAGTTGCACACCCTTCTAGTTGCTGTATGTGGGACCTGGCCTCAGCACGGCTGGAGAAGCGGTACGTCAGTGCGCTTAGTGGCCAGCCCAGGAAGTAGCAATCTTAACAGTACAAGCTTTAGAGTAAATTTCCTGAATTCAAATGCATGTTCTAAAAGCTATGATACGGAAGGAACAGAGGGATATGACAGCATATAGAAATTGTACTTAACTCAGAGAGTGGAGTGTGGAGAAGCAGAAAAGGCCTCCCTAAGGACGTAATGATTAAAGCTTCAGATCTCAAAGAGAGAAGAAACGCGTGCCAGGCACAGGTAATAATATGGGTGTAGATCCAGAGACAGGAGAGAGCATATGATGTTAGAGAAACTAAAGACGATTTAATATGGCAAGAGCACTGAGTTAAGGAGAAGGGAGGTGGCAAGAAATAAGAATAGAAAACAAGGTAGGGGTCAGATTATGTAAAGTTTTGAAACCAAGATACAGAGTTTGGATTTGACTATAAAAGCCACAAGAGTCCATAAATACAAGGTTTCAGTGAGGAGCCTGACATCATATAGTTTTGTTTTAGGAACATCACAGTGGCTGGTGTGTGCCTCTAAGCAGAGGTCTTGGGAGCAAAGGGGAAGAGGAGGTCAGAGAGAAAATATAGACACCAACTCACAAAGCTGTCTCAATGTCAGTTCTTAAATTCAGCCTGGCACCTACGATCTGTCACATCTACAACCAGATGAATCTCCCATCCCTCTGGTCACTCACTACAACCTGGTTGGAGAAGCACAGAGTATTGGCTGTGCAATGAGTGATCCCCATCTTTCACATTGTGTCTTCGATTTCAGGGATCATAACGGGACTGCTACATAATTGAGCTGAATTGTGAGTATCAGTATAATTACATCCTTGCCATCTCCCGTATATTTGCATAATACCCCCTAATTAAAATATGAGTTTATACTCTAAAAGTCATGGGAAGAAGAATTTGCATTTTCACTCTGCTTTGTATTCCCACTGCCTAGTAAGGTATCTGTCATATTGTTGGAAGCTCATAAAAAATTTTATGGAATAAGCTGTGTGTAAAAGAAGGGAAAGAAAGAACACATTCTCATTTTATTTTCAAAACAGTGATTTAAAGAAGAGAGTAAAGGGATTTAGAAAAGTTAGGCCCGGTGATCTAAAATCTAATCCACTCTAAGTGCAAAGCCCTTGAGTTCCCTCAAATATGTATTCAACTTTAACACTCAGCATAAGAACTGAGATAACAATAGATGGGAGGGTTGATGGAAGGCTGAGTGGATGGATGCATAGATGGATGGGTAATGGATGAATAATTGATGGATGATTGATGACAATTATCTGATACTCAGATATCACTGTTCTCAGAAAAGAAACCCCCACCCCACCCCAGTCTTCAATATCACCCATATCTCTCTCACATCTGTCAAAAAATAAACAAATATAAACTACCTGTCCACTTCTCACACAGGATTCCCTGAGGACACTAAAGTACTCCTAGGACAACAGAGCCTAGAGGAGATGAATTCTCCCCTGAGTGCCTACTTTAATACCAAAGAATGACTTAATTACCATTCTGCCCACCTTTTCCTCTCGAGTGAGTGATGAGAAACAAGATTCAGGAAACAATAGGGGAAAACACTTCGTCATCTGAAAATCGGGTAGCTCTGGCATCAGAACTTACTTTGAAGTGCCAATCTACCCAGAAGGACATCATAGGAGAGTTTCTCAAGTCTTCTGTCTTCCTCTAGAGTAGTATCTAAGTTTCTGGGAGAGAATCAGCACTTTTTGGAACCCAAAGAAGTTAATAAGGATCACTGCAGC